AGGTGTTTAAGGACAGACTGGATGTGGCATCAGTGCCATGGGCTGGGAACCACAGCGGGGTTGGATCAAGGGTTGGACTGGATGATCTTGGAGGTCCCTTCCAACCCAGCTGATTCTGTGATTCTGTGATTTCGGGGTGTAGCCACTGCAGAAAGGGAAGGGAAAGGCCCAGAGTCCCTTCCTGATGGATATAAGGAATAGTGGGAGGCTGGGCGGGCTCGGAGCATCCCTTTGGTGACGTGTCCCTCCCATCCCTGCCCTCCTCACGCAGGAGGAGGGTGTCCAGCGCGCCCGGGAGGAGGAGGAGAAGAGGAAGGAGGTGACATCCCACTTCCAGGTGACGCTGAACGACATCCAGCTCCAGATGGAGCAGCACAACGAGAGGAATTCCAAGCTGCGCCAGGAGAACATGGAGCTGGCAGAGAGGCTCAAGAAGCTCATCGAGCAGTATGAGCTGCGGGAGGAGGTGGGTCAGGACAGGGGCATCCCCCTGCCCAGGGAAGGGGGTTCCTGCTTCCAGAGGGGAAATAAACCCAGCAGGTTCTCCATCATCACATTCCTGGTAACCACAGCCCAATTATATGTTCTCATCAAGCCAGTTTTTTTTTTTACTGCCACAGAACATCAAGGCTGTGTTTTGCAGAGTGGAAGGGAAGGAAAACACAGGTTTTCAAAAGCAACACTCAAATGATAAAGATTCAGCAGGGAGGGGGAAGTGCACCACACACTCACTGCTTTAGCAGAGGAAAATATCCAGTATATCCAAAATATCCAATATATCTAAATGTATCTATATCCAGTGTATCTAAATGCACGTACAAACACCCAGCTATGTGCATTTTATACCAGTGAAAGTTACATGATATTTTTTTAGGTTGTTTATTTATGCTGTTGAGAGTTCCCTCAATTCATTTAATGCAAACTAGACATTTTTACTTTGTGTAGAACGTTGAGGTTCGTTCATGCCCTTAACGTACATTAATTAGACACTGCTTACAAATAACCTGCAGTAAGAATATCTGTTTGTCTGGGGTCTTCTGAGCCTGTGGTGTTCCCTTGGCAGCACATTGACAAGGTGTTCAAGCACAAGGAGCTGCAGCAGCAGCTGGTGGATGCCAAACTCCAGCAGGCCCAGGAAATGCTGAAGGAGGCAGAGGAGAGGCACCAGCGGGAGAAGGACTTTGTAAGTCGTGGAGCAGTTCTGGGGTGGTTGTGACCCTTGTTACTGCTGGATCCCTGAGTGCAGAGCCCAGAGCAGGTTATGCCACATCTTGCCTTGCTTCCTGAGCAGCTTCAGGAGCCGGGCTGGAGCCCTGCTCTGCTCCTTGTGCTCCTCCCAGCCCGCTCCCATCTCCAGGCCCAGCACCAGCCATGCAGGGATGTGCTCAGAGCATTCCCAGGTAACTGCTTTTGCTCTTCCCCAGCTGCTGAAGGAAGCTGTGGAATCACAGAGGATGTGTGAGCTGATGAAGCAGCAGGAGACCCACCTCAAGCAGCAGGTGAGTCACCAGCCTGTTTTGTTTGGCTTTCTTTTCTTCCTTCCTAAGCAAGGAACAACCCAAAGTTCCTTAATCTGGAAAACACAGGGGCAGGATCTCTCCCGGGCTTTGGTATTGGTGAGCTGAGACTTCCTTCAGCAATTCTGCCTTCTGGGAGAAAGGTGCCTTGTTTTTTTCCAGTGCTGGGAGCAGTCATGAGATCATCCCTCACTGAATCAGCCCCAGCAAGTGCCTCCTGCCCTGGCCAGGAGATGTTTATAGGACACACCACTCTGAGGGTGTTTCCCTAGGGCAGAATTTTCCCTTGGCAGAGCAGCTCTGTGCTGCCAGTTTGTTTTTGTCCCAGGACAAGCAGCTCAGCCCCTGTTTGGCCTCATCCCTGCCCGGGTGAGGCTGTCAGTGGGTGCCCTGGTGAGCTCCCTGTCTCTCCCCACAGCTGGCTCTCTACACAGAGAAGTTTGAGGAATTCCAGAACACCCTTTCCAAAAGCAGTGAAGTGTTCACAACGTTTAAACAGGAGATGGAGAAGGTGGGTGACACCTCTGCTGTCCTGGCTCTCCTCCATGTGAACTGCAAGAGTGACAGCTTCATCATTCTGTTTAATTTTGGGTCTGTGCCAGGGGAGGGGGTGGCACCTGAGGACATGTGGGATGTCACTGCAGTGCTCTGCCTGGGGCTTATTTGAGGCTTATTTGTCTTGGGATGTCCTGTGCAGGGCCAGAAGTTGGACTTTGATGGGTCCCTTCCAACTCAGGGTATTCTGTGATTCCATTTGTGCCCTTTTTGTGATCCTGTAGATGACCAAGAAGATCAAGAAGCTGGAGAAGGAGACCACCATGTACCGCTCCCGCTGGGAGAGCAGCAACAAGGCTCTCCTGGAGATGGCAGAGGAGGTGAGGAGGCCCTGGGGGTGGGCTGGAGCTGAGGGGGGGGGCAGGACAACTCCTGCCTTAATGCAGGATGGTGAGGTCTGAGGGAGCAAGGGCAGAAGGAAAGCCTTGATGCAGCTTCAGGTGCTTTGAATGCTGAGTGTTTGCTTGGTCACAAGTATTTTCCCCTCTCAGGCTTCTCTAGAATCAGTCATGGAATGGTTTGGGTTGGGAGGAGTGTTACAGATCATCCAGTTCCATGGGCAGGGACACCTTCCACTATCCCAGGTTGCTCCAACCTGGCCTTGGACACTTCCAGGGATGGGGCAGCCACAGTTTCTCTCTCCTGGGCAACTTGTGCCAGGGCTTCCCCACCCTCCCAGGGAAGGATTTCTCCCCCTTATCCCACCTAACCCTGCCCTCTGGCAGTTTAAAACCATCCTCCCCATCCTGTCACTGTCTGCCCATATCCCTCTGGGATTTCATCCCTCCCTTTTTGCCTCTCCCTGCAGAAAACCCTCCGGGACAAGGAGTTGGAGGGGCTGCAGGTGAAGATCCAGCGGCTGGAGAAGCTGTGCCGGGCCCTGCAGACGGAGCGCAACGACCTCAACAAGAAGGTGCAGGACCTGTGTGCCCACACGGACCTGGCAGAGCCTCTGAAGGACCCATCCCGGGACAGCTCCGACTGTCCCAGCTCGGGAAAGGCCACGCACAGCCCGGATCCTGCAGAGAGCCTGGGGGAACTGAGCCCAGGAGCCACAGGGCAGAGCGGGACTGAGGAGGGACCTCGGGGCACTGACTGAGCCCCTGCAGGGCACAGGGGTGGGCACAGGGAGGGGGACCTGGATGTGCAGACTCCATCTGATGCCCCTCTCCCGCTCCTGGGACAGGTGGAAAAGGACAGGACAGCCCTCCTGGGGATGTGAGATTTCCTAGCTTTTAGGTTTTTTTTTTTTAAA